GAAGCAGAAAACAATGAATGTGGCAACTTAAGGGGAGAGAAAGGAGATATTAGGGTGTAGGGTATTAAGTAAAATTACAAGTCTTCCAAGTGCAATAAACAGTGATGAAGCTATGGACCCGAAAAGTTAATAGAGGAATTACACAGAAGTTGTTCACTCAGACAAAATCTTAAAAAAAAAAAAAACAAAACTTTGGCTCCTCACAAACTTCTTTTCTGGTGGAAATCCCACAGTCAATGATGGGAGGTCGACTTTATAAAGTGAGATTTTAACATGAATTGCAGCTCTGTGTAAACTATGAGAAATGTTGCTCACAGCAAGAGAAAATGCAGGATAACGAGATATTTGTGGATGTGGGGAGAAAGAACATTACAGCAACTATGCAAAAAGAATAAATAGCAACACCGTCCTTCTCTGTAACTTCTTGGAGAATCTCAGTACAACCTACAGTAGTGATTTCTAGTTACGTGGTCACCCTTTAACACACAGCCCTGGTCTCCAGTTTGGCCTCTTTACACTCTCATCCCTTGCTGCTTCTCACTCCTCACTCCAGAACCTCAGCTGTGAGCTGACGGGCAAGGACCCTGCCGTGAGTTTGTGCAGTGGCCAATGTGGGACCCAGCCGGGACTCGGGGTGCTGCCAAGTGCTCCTTCTCCACAATTAATGAGGGGGGCTGATAAAGAGATGGGGGACAAAGGCTTTCCTCCTAGTGAGAAAACTCTTAAGCAGAAAGCTGGTCTAGCTGAGAAGTCTTTCTCCATGCCAAACATGCTCAATAGCACAGCGCGGCGCAGTGAGCAAGCCGTGAAATCCAGTGGCCTTTCAGATGAAAGCATGACAAAAAAAGAAGCGGGAGAAGAAAAAAGGAAGACAAGGCCAAGCAGAGTGGGGCAGGCTGCAAGCAAACACTCCCCTCCCAGAACGACAGAACTTTGACTGGACACTGCCCTGTGGAGCCTGCAGAAGATGCTGTTTTTTTGTGAGAGAGTCAAGTTAAAATGCAAACCTGCATTCGCACATACATGAGTTCCTTAAGTACAGCAAAGAATTAAAGAAAATACTTTGCATTGAACTTGCTTTATTGTGTATGCGCTCCACTAATTTCCAATTGCAGTTTCTGCTCCAGCTCTCAGTCATCATCAGGATGACACACTGACATTCAATATTGCCATGTTAGAAAATCTAGAGTAACTGGAAATCATATTAAGAATATTTAAATACAGTCCATGTCTATTTAAGGTTTGAATACATATCATTACAAAATGGCAAAATTAACCCAATCTAATTCTCTCGGGGATGCACGAAGATCTAAACAACCCCAAGCTGGATGTTCTCCTTTACCACCCACTCAAATAAACAAAACAATCCCAAACACGCCAGGGTTAGTTTAGGCTGCAAATGGTAACACAATCAGCCTTCAATCCCCATGCCCAAACGCAGTTCACTCCCCACTGTGGCGCAGATTGTTCCACAAGGAAAGCATGGCCCCACTGTGGCCCCGCTGTGGCCAGCAGCTTGCTCATCATGGGCACTACATTGTTCCTTCCCAGCACCCCAAACCATCCCCAGTGGGCACACAACATTGCTGTTATGGGACTCGCTGGCCCTGGCAAAGCCATTCCTGCAGTACTGGGGTGAGCTGCTTTCCAGCAGCCCCGGCTAGGAGCTCCTCGCTCCTAGAAACCAGCACTGTCAACAGCATGCCCTTTGTTGTGTGCGTGCGCAGCTTGCTGGTTGTTTTGGGTCTCGGTTGTTCTATTTCGAGGAGAAATTTTAGTTTTAAATGAGTAATCTGTTTTCGAGTGATTTCTCCACGCTGGCTCCACCCTGCACTGTAAACTAGACATTACCTTATACAAGAATGAATCCGCTGCATTCCTCCGTCTCGCTGCCGCGCAGCACATTTCCTACCCTTGCAGCCCAACCAACAGCAGCACACGCTCCCCCACCCCTTCCCCCTGCGTTTTCTTTTTCTTTCCCTTTTTTTTTTTTTTTTCTTTCTTCACCGCCTCACTGTGTTTTTGTGTAAATGATCTCACATGACTCAACAAATCCATCTGCCTGGAGCAGGCCGAGTTTGGAGCCTTCCCAGGAGGGAGGAGAAGAATTGCTTTGTGGAAAGGACCTGGAGCTTTGCCCTTTCTCTGGCTCAAATTACCCGCCTGTCAGGCCTGACGGATTTGGCTAAAAATAAAAGGAAGCGGGCCGTGAAAAGGAGATGAATGAGCTCAGCAGTTCCTTAGATAACATGGGCCTGGTGTTGCCCAAAGCTCCCGGCGCAGGAACTTCAAATGCCGGGCATGTAAGCGCAGGGCCACAGACGAGGTGAACTTGGACGCTGTGGGGAGAAAAGCAAAACCTAACCGTACGCCGCTGGAAATAACTGGATTAAAGGCACGCACGCAGAACAGGAAAGCTGCCTGCTGTAGGTTTGGGGCTTGTAAAACCCCAGATTTACGGCACTTCCACGGTGAGTGGGGTCTAGAGGATGCGGTGGGGGACGCGTGGAGTCACGCGTGATGTCAGCCTCCCGGCTGCGCCAGCTCTGCGTGGAAAGTCATCAGCACCCATGTGTGCCCAGTGCTGCACTGAGTATTAAGCACTTAGTTTGGCAACGTAATGACACACTGTAGCAATCTGTAATGCGAGGCAGTCAGCAAAGCCCTGGCTCTGCGAGCTATTCCTCCTAACCATTAACCATATGTTTGGCTCCACCGTCACCCGAGTGAGCGGGTGTTCCAGCACACCATCTGGTTTCTATCCACACAGGCAACTGCAAAGCACATAGCATTTCCCCCCAGAGCTGAATGTTCCTCCCGGCATCCCCTCTCCTGCTGCCCTCCCTGCCGAGCCCCCTGCTCCCCATCTTCCTCCTTCACCTCTCACAGCATCAGCCTCTCTTCCCGACACGCCACCCTGCTACTGGCACTTGAAATGTCACCCTAAAAGCATGTCCAAAGACTGGGGATGCCACAGCATGCAGCCCCCTGTGCACCTAGAGCACATGCTGGGATCGCATTGCCCAGTGTCAAGTCTTGATGTGTTGTGCTACAAAATGGACACTGTCCTGACAGACCCTGGGGCTGCTGCAGCAGCCATCGTGTCCGCTGGCACCAACTCTGTCCTGACATTGCACAAACACCATGAGACTCCACCAAGAGAAGGGTAATTAGCAAAGTACCCCAAATGGAGCTTTCTAAGCATGCCTGGTTTTGGTGCCCCTGCCCAAAACTAAAGAAAAGTAAAGAAGAAAGAGGAATGGAATGAGAGAGAACGGGAAGAAAAGGAATGAAAATATTTACTTTCCCTGTGATAGCTAAACAAACCTTTTCTGAAACTATAAAAAAAGCTTTCAAGCATTATATTTTAGAGGACTTTGTACCATATGTTTACTTTATGATTCTATGAATTCTAAATACTATTTATGTTTTTTACAGCACTTCCATCCTTATGTTTATTTCTGGAGTCACCTATGGGAGATCAGCAGTAATTCTCCTCCCAGGTTGTTGGCCAATTTGAGATTAATCATGACCTAATGTAAGTATGCAGGGATGCAAGCAACACGATATTCAACAAATCCCACACTTGCTGCTTTAAGTAAGCTCATACTCCACAATGAGTCACACATACAGTGTTTATCCAAGTTACCAAGTCCATTACATTTGCAAACATATACACATCACAGCCATAAGCACACAACTGTTTACACCAAGACACATTCCTATGGCTGGATATTGATTTTTTAATAAAATGTCATTATGCTGATGTTGATACAGCAACTATCTTTCCAGAGGATGCAATTTAACATTAAAAAGAAGCTGGCTGGAGGAAATACTAAATCCACACCCATTCACATACTATTTAAATATCCTTCTCGGGCATGAATACAGAAATGCAAAGCTGCAATTGCTTTTTTTTTTTTTTTCTGCCTAGCATCTAACAAAGAAAATGCAAAGGAATCTCCAGTTAGAAACAGCTCAGTCTAAGGCAACCAGCTCTGCTGATCTGCTCCTCAAAAAAATCTGTGCTGAAAAGCGAAAGTCTATACTGACAAGGATACATGCTCTTCTACTTTCTCATGCATGTGAGAATTAAGTGTGTGAAAAAGCCACTGTAAGCCATTATCCTGAAATCAAATAGACACGGGGAAAACCCTTATGTTCCAGAAAAGCCTGATGGCTTCACCAGGACTGCCTAAGAAACGTGAGGTCAGGATCTGGCTCCACTTAAAATGCACTGCAATTAGCACCCCAAATGTCCCCCTTCCAGCCATCTCTGCCTCTCAGTTAGGAAAATAATTAGAATGATTAAAAACATAAGAGATGCATTTTAGCTAACAACTCACATTTCTTAACAAGTAGGGTCTGAATATATTAAAGATGATATTTTAAGGTAACTGCCAACATACTGGTAGTATTCTTAAATACTGCACATTACAACTGCTACCATTCTGCAAGAAGAAATTGTCTTCATTCATACAAAACACCCAGAGTTAGTCTGCTACAGCAAAGACACAGGTAGGGGTATTTTAGCAGATAACAATCTGTTCTGAGCCAGAAATCTTTTAAAATGGAGAATTCAAGGAAAACAGTCACAGATTCAGCATTCCATAGTCTGAAGGGACAGCTAATCATTTGACCTTCTTCCCTAGGCCTGGAGTTTTCTTTGTACATTAATGAAGTTCTAAGAGGCTGAATTAAGCCTGACTCTTAGCCTAAGAATGACAACAACACACACACACACAAGAACAACTTCAGTTTTAACAGCCTGAGATAACGAAAAATGTCTCAGCCCCAGCAACAGTGTCCCATTCAGAAACTACCCTCGCTGCCAGAACTTACACTCTCTTGCTGGGTCTGAATTAATTTAGCAGCCAGCCACGGGCTCTTATTATACCTTGTCACCTCCCTCTGCCACTCAGCTCCTGACAAAGGGCCACTGTCAACCTGAAATCTAGACAATTTTAAAGCATAATAAAAGAGCAGCGTCACATTATTACCTGAATCCACCAAGTCCTCCTGCCAACAGTGATGTTTCTGCAATCACATTTTTCTGTTTTTAAAAACTTCTCTCTTGCCTCATCGCTCTGTGTGAAAACCAACACAAAAGAGAAAACTTATTAACTGGATGAGATTATCTATTATTTGTATTACAGCAGGTAGAATTCCCAGCTGATATTTTAGACTTTTTTTTTTTTTTTCCTACTAAGTGTCACGAAAATATTAAACAAGAAAAAGTCCTTTTGGCAAAATTGCTTACTGACCAACCAGAGGAGACAGCAGCCTAACAGGAACAGCACCTTGCTTGCAGAGCTGTGAGAGAACTCAGCTCCCGGAGCCCAAGTCCTGCATCCATCCCCCAGGGAAGGCAGCACAGGAACCAAAGCCCAGCAGGCACTCAGTGCTACCAAAAGCAGGCACACAAGGGAAGAGGGAGTATCTTTTAAGTTTCTTTCAGTTTCATTAGTAAATACACGCCACTAATAACCATAGTAGCAATGTAAAAATAATACTCGTAAAATTACATCAACAGTAAATTACTTAATCATACAGTTTCCCTGAACTTGGCTCATACAACATTTTTTAGGCGGTGATTTTGCTTAAAATTCTCAACAGGGTCTTTTTGTGCCTGTGCTCAGTTCTCACTTCACACATTACTTGTTTCACACTTCAGTGTCAAACTCTTCTGATGAACCGTAATGGACACTTCATATGAGAAACTTCCACACTTAAATAAGGAAGAAAAAAGCTAGTATGGTAGAAACCCAACTGAAGATACAGCTTCATAAAGAAACCACTAGCCTCTCTGAATTGCCTGAAGACACATCATAAGTGAAGAAAAATTAGGACTGGATATTCAGTCCTGAAAATGCCATTAAAGTCAATATTGCTTTCTCTGAAAGCAAACAAAACAAAAACATTCACACCAGAAGATGCAACTCAGCCACCTGCACATGACCCCTTGCTCACCTCCACATGGGCAAAGTACAGGCAATCCCACAGCACAGGGAGATATGGCTGTGACACCCTTCCTGCCATACCGGTGCTCAGTTGTTCAGCACACTCTGTCCATAGCCAACATGAGTGTCTGCCAGAGAGAGCTTTGTTGCAAGGTTTTGGTCACAACAGTCTGACTGACTCATTTCATAAAGAACAAAGTGCCTGAAAAAGCTCAACATGTTCTGGCAATCCAGAGATTTTCAACAGGGGACTTGCACTGAGAAGAACTGACTTTTCTATGGAATATGAACCTTGCTGTCCATGACAAAAACCTGCCTAAATCTGCTCAACTTGCAAGCTTTCAAAAAAAAAAAAAAAAACCCCACAAAACTACTACTACTAATAATAAAAACATTAAAAATATTCTTTACCAAGCAAGCATGAAAAGATTTGCAGCTTCCTGAGCAAGGACTTGTCTAACCCCATGCCCGTGCCAAGCAACAGCCCCAGCAGCATGGAGCCACCAACTGAATGCAGTGCAACCAAAGCTGGGCCAAGAGGAGAGCAGAAAATACACTAGAGCTAGAAACTTCACTGCACATCGATGGGAAATCAGAGGTCAGATGGGCAGAAAGCGACAAGCTGCACAAAGGGCTGCAGGTCGTGCAGTGGCTGTGAACCTTCTTGGAGTTGATACAATGCCAGTTGATGCCATTTACCATTTTTATTTGCTTCCTATATTTTTAATTCAGTGTAGCAAAGGTAGGCTGTAAGAAAGAACACTGACAAGGGGATGTGCCGGAAGAAGCACCGCAGACAGCAGCTGCACTCTCCCTAATGCATCCCCTGCCACATTCAGTGCACTGGACATATTTGAGCTGCACGCCAGTGCCACAGGAGGAAAGCACAGGAAAGCACCGACATTTGCTGGCAGTGAAGGTGCAGACACAATGTGGCTCCTCACTATTTCTACAGCCTTTGGAGCAGGCCAGCTGAGCCCTGGAGGGCTGCCACAGGGTAGGGCACGCAAGTCTCTCAGTCCAGCTTTTCCCAAGCAGTCACTAATGGCAAGTTCTTACCTATCCTGAAACCCTGGCTTCTCTCAAGCAAAACGCACGACTGCTCACAGCAAATGCAAAAAGGAGCTGTATTTCCATTACATGAAATATTACGTGATACTGAGACATCTCCACGGCAAGGCTGTGATATCCTCACGAACTCTGTCCTTAATTTTAGCTCTCTTCCTGTAAAAAAGTGGTAGCGCTTCCCAAACCATTTATCAAACTCTCAAGCGTGACAGCGATGAACGGAAAAGTCGGTGAGGAAATTACAAACTTTTTTAGTAGGGCTTGAGTGGTGTGCAATAAATAAATCCTAGGGCCAAGCACGGAGCAGCAGGAGTGCATGACACTGGGAGCTCAGCAGGCTCTTGCTGAAAGAGCAGCACAATCACGGATCCACGAACTACCCGTGCAATTCCCAGGCTTGGAGCAGGGCTGCACAGATTATTTTTACATCTTGATGATTCACACTGTGACCTCACTTGTAATATTTTCATCTCATTGTGTATGAAAATAAAATTAGTAGTAGAATGTTGGAATGGCCCTCAATATTATGCTTAGACACTCACAACCCATAGCAGAGTGCAGCTTTATGGTCAACCCAATGCGTGATGCAGAAAGACTGTTCTTAAAGGTAAATAATTCAGGGCTTGAATTCCATAAGGTAAATAATTTAGGGCTCTAATGAACTTGCCGACTGTAAATAGGGAGCTGCACTGCTAGGAGCCTTCTAAACTGCCCTACATGCAATCCTCAGGAGTGCAGAATAGAAATTGACAGCAAAACTGTGCCTGAGATGTTCCTGGCTGCAGTAGCAAGGGCTCACTCACTCCCAAACAAAAGGAATGTCAGATAGGAAAAGGCAGCTCCCATGTTCTGCATTGTGTCCTTGAGCTTCTGCAAAGGAGGTACAATTTAAGTAACATAACCTGGGCAAGGAGTAAGGTGGTCTGTGCTGCCAGGCACATGAGTAGGCTATTACCGCACAGAAGCACTGAAAAAGCCCCTCATGGACAGCTGAAACAGCATTTCAGTCCAGAGTTGCTAAAATCACAAGTGGCACTGGGTGAGGCTAGAAACTCTTCCCCATACTTGTACCAGAACTGGCTGTTGTCAACTGCTTTTGTCAACACCCAGTAATTCCTGAGCATCCATCCATCAACAAGTTTTTCAGTGGAACAAAATCCATCAACAAACCACAAGATCAATCCTCACCAACTCCTATATTACCAACAAGTCCCAGCCTTCACCCTCTACTACCAAGGAGTCATTCCCCAAGAGCAACTGCTCCTGAGGAAGTAGGGAAACCATATGAAAATGGGAATCATAGAATCATTGTAGAATGGCTTGAATTGTAAGGGACTTTAAAGCCCATCCAGTTCCAATCCCTTTGCCATGGGCAGGGCTGCCATTCACCAGCTCAGGCTGCCCAGGGCCCCATCCAGCCTGGCCTTCAGTGCCTCCAGGGATGAGGTGTCCACAGCTTCTCTGGGCAGCCTATACCACCCTCTGAGTAAAGAATTTTCTCTAACATCTAATCTAAACCTCTCCTAGTTTAAAATAGGACAAATTTCCCTTTGTCCTATTACTATCCTCTTGCGTAAAAAATCTGTCTCCCTAAGGGATGTGGTGTATTGTCAGATGGCTGCAGACCAGCTCTCGCTCCATGCCCATAGATGTCACTTCATGGCTGGCAGAAATGTGTGTCATCAGGATAGACGAGGAAGCTGGAGTTATCCCAGTGCCATCCTCTAGGTAACGTTCCCAAAAGTGGAAGCAAATCTAGGGCAAGGTTGCATCTGACAAGATCCAGGGTGTGAAACAAAAACAACCCCCAGCGGTTTCTTTGTTCCCCATTGATACCACTCAACCGAAAAACATTTTGCAAAGTAGTTTACACCATGCAATAAGAGTTTGTTCCAAATGCAATGCTTGGGTTGCGGTGTCTCAAGAGCTGGCAAGCACAACTCCACTGCCAAAGCCTACCTGCTAAATGCCATGCTGAGAAGTATGTGTTAGTCTGTGCTTCAAAACTGAAAACCCAGACACTGGAACAAGAAAGGAAGCACAAAGTATTCATTTCAAACCTGTGATATTTGTGAACAGTAATTGTGCTCAGTCTCCACACAAGTGGTAGTTGATACCTATCCAGGAACAGAGCTGAAAAACAAAACAGTCTGCAAATCTCTGCTAAGTGAAGTTACTGTAATCTCACTGTATGCCATTTCCTTGTTTACGTCTCATGATATCGAAGTTCAGCTTTTGGAGCAACACAAGCGAGGAACCTAGAAAGTGAAATGTGATCTTATTTATGAAATAAGAGAGCACGCTGCAAGCAAGAATTCGTATGCACACACATCCAAATCCTGTTCCTCAGTCAAACACCCACTCTCAAAATCCTGTACCAACCAGATCAGCAAATGTGCACATGCTTGCACTCTTGCAGAAACAATAGTCTCTTTCAGCCCATACAATCTTCTGAAGAAACAGGCTAAAACGTCATGGGAGAAGTTAGGAAATATCTGCAAAAAACAGTTCACAAGATGAAAGGCAGAATGAGGATTTTAAATCCTATGAGTGCATGACATGGAAGAGAAATTCACAGCTTTGTCACCTATCCACTCTGGCAAAATGTTTAAGACAGAAAAGGGACTTGCCACAATACTGGAAAACAAAGCCCTTCAAAGGTAGGACAGTTCCCTATAACCAGGGTGTTTCCGGCACCATACAGCTCCCAGAGGCGCGTGGCAGATCTCAATGCCACTCCCAATTCCCATAGGGATCTCTTGTGGCAGGCAGCAGGGGGGAGGCAGGCTGAGCTTTCTGCCCTGAGCACTCCACACCTCCAGGCACTCCCGCCCCAACCCTGCTCTGCTGCTGCTGCTCTGTTTTTTAATTAAACCAGCACAAGCTTGGAGTTGCTGTGGGGCTAAGCAAAACGATGATGTGTTTTGTGTCTTGAAATGGTGCGGCAGAAATGCCGACTGAGGGGAGAGGGGCAAACTGCCCATCTTAAAGTTGGGGAATTGGAGACAAAAAAGAAGTTGCAACGATGCCACTACTCCTAACTCTTCCAAAGTTCACCT